CCGAGTCTGTCCGTGTGTCTCTCGACCGTCACTGCCTGTGAGATGGACGTCGGGATCGTCAAGCCTGTGCCGGGGGAATAGGAGAAAGACCTACCGTATGCTTTCAGCAGCGAACCCGCTTGGTTGTGCAACAGAATGAGAGAACGGTCCCTGTTCTATCCAAGTGGGCGGCACGCCCTTTAAATGCTCTCTCCGTTGTGTGGGTGTCCCATTTGTGTCCGGGACTCTTGCCCGGTCAATTACGGATATGTATGCAACCACTTCGTTGGAAGCTATCCAATCACGACCAGCGTCCTCCCTCCCGTCGTCTTCGCTGCTATGACTCACTACTTGTCTGCCGGTCAATCCGTGCTATGTACTGCAGTGAATCACGTGCGTTCATCCTGCTCTATGGGCTGGGCCGTTGTGCCATGGCCCCCTATAAACCAAACTTAAGTAATAGGGGGCGCGGCAGTCAGAGTGACCTCCCGTCCCTCTGTGTCCCTCACCTCCGGATCGGTACCTTTGACCTCGTTCCACTCGTTCAAAACTCCCTCCGGTCGAAGGGCTCCCTCCAGTCGCGGGCCCAACGGGTTGTGCGTGGGTGTGGGTTGTACGGGAGAGTGACTTCATCTGGGTTGGTGTATTGGTTCCTGTCTGTGTCTGTCTTTGCACTGTTGTTCCCTTGCTCGTGTTCACTCGCGTGGTCAAGAGTGTTCCTCTTGTGTGCTCCACTTGTAAACGGACTTCCTCAGTCTCTGTGCTTGAGCGTGGCTCTTCACACCCGCACCTTCGGCGCGTGCACCCCTGCGGGGGTTGATTCCGTAGCTCTGAAATGCCCTGCGGGGCTTATGCTCAGGGTGTTGTACTTGAAGCTCATGATCTTGTAAACGCTTAGGCTGTCTACGTGAGGGTTTGGGTCTACGTTCTTGGTGATGTTTATCTGTAGCCAAGTGGATGCGGTGACCAGGACAGTTCAATCTACTATCTGCGATTGATATGTTCGGGGTTTAGTGTAGATTCCTCCCGTCATCCCGTCCCTTAGTGTGTCTCTACCGTCTATCCTTGCATGGTTGAGTCTACATGTTTACGAGGAAGTGAGGCCATTCCCAAGTCTGTTTTGGGCAGGTGGGGGTGTGTACGGGGCGATTGTGTGGCCGGACCAATGCGCTGCTGCGTGTGTACTGTGTCCCCAGCGGAGTGTGGGCCCTCGTCTCCCCCCGGGTCTCTGTCGGGTGGGCTACGGTCGATGAACGATCCGAGTCTGCTGCTCGATGACTGCTCAGAGCAGTGCAATCAATCTCCGGGCACGTCAACAAGATCACCTCCTGCCCGTCGGAGCGACTACTCTCCAGCCGTTGCACATAGCCAAGGAAGTAGTCAAGATGCAGCCCCCTTCACTGCATGAAGGAACAGGCTCTCGCCCTTGCCCTGGTTTCAGGTCAAGTCAAGGGAAAGACTCACCGTCACCACCACCCTTTGCCAATTGGATGGGGGGGAAGAGAGCAGCTCCCCGCCACGGTATCTGTCCGTATCGTTTGGCAAGCAAAACGAAGAGGAAATCTCTCAGCACTGCGTAAAAGAGAAGAAGTCTCGTCAACTTGCTTCCTGCTCCTCCCGTGACGCTTTACTCTATTTGTCCCTTGGTGTTCCCACGGGGACGGAGGGGTTCCTCTGCTTCAATGCTTTCTGTCACACAGAGTACCTTCCTGGGTACATAAAACAAAAATCAATCCTGCTCGGATGTGTTGGGTTGAGAGGGGCGCAGCCCTCCTTATCCTCTGTCTGTTTGTCTCCGACCGTTGCTTCCATGCACGTGAAGGGTAGTCTCCTACAACGATAAAAGGAAGAACTTATCCTTCTGTCCCAAAGACAGCAGAAAGCGCAAGTACGCGCTGAGGGGGTCGAGCCCCCGGCGATCCCTCCGTGTCTGTGGCCTTACCTTGCTGGGTGCAGTCTCTTGACCGAGATTCGATTCCCCTAGACTTCTCCGGGATATTGACGTGTACCCTCCGGTTGCTGTGTTCTCCAAGAAACACCCACTCGGGTGAAAGATGGAAGAGTCAAATCAAACCACCTGGGTTCATTGAGATGGGCGAACTCCCGTTCTTATACTCCGTGTATGTGTGAGTGTCCGGGTTCTGAACCCGTCCATAAGTGGAGTGATGGATATGTAAGCTGTGCCAGCAAACTATCCAATGAGTGCGTGGCGTCACCCTCCCTGTGTGGCTGCCTCTTAGTACGATTGAGCTCCCGCCGGTCACTTCAATTTAGTACCACACTCAAGCTGCGCAAGGTGTCTAGGACTGGGGCTGGGCCGTTGTGCCATGGCCCCCTATAAACCAAACTTAAGCATATAGGGGGCCCGGGGGTAGAAGGGACTCCGCCCTTCCTCCTGTCCCTCGCCTCCTGCTCGGTACTGGTGACCTCCATCCTGTCGTTCAAAACCTCCTCCTGTCGGTTTTCTCGCTCCGCTCAAGCACCTCCCTCCGGTCGGGGTGGCCCAACGGGTACTGTTTGTATGTGTCTCGGGTGGTGAAGTGACTTAAGTAGGGACTGAGCGGGTGTTGGAGTGGTTGTATGTCCGTCGTGCGCCTTTCAGACGCCTACTCCTCTCCACTGGGTAATGATACCTTGTAAACGATTGACACGATTGAAGATGAGTTGACGTGACGCTTCGCTGCTGTTCACGTCCAGTCCTTCGGCCTGTCCGCACTCCTTCGGAGTAAATTCCATAGTGATGGAATGGCCCTCCGGGGGTGATCATTCGAGTAATGTCTCTTGAAACAGTGTTCTTGTAAACGTTGAAGGTGTCCTTGTAAACGCCTCAAGTGACTTGGAGCGTGGAATACGTATAAACAAGGGTTAATCTACGTCTTGTGTGCATTCTCGTAAACGCTTAGGAAAAGAAGAATATCTCCTGTATGCGTGATGGGTGATGTTCGTCTACAACACAACATCTTAGGCCGAATGACTGGAAATGTCTATAAACGAGGCCAACACCCGAAAAGGGAAAGTGCCCACGAAGGGACCGAAAGCCAATCGCATTTGCTCATCCATACCCAATGAGATGCCAATTTCGTCACGTAAAGAAGACAAGCCTAAGCCAAATTGCCGACGCATCATACCGAAACTGCGCCTAATCATCCGTCACTGCCACTGCCGGAACATGGCAGACTCTTCGATAACCAGCGAGGAAACCCTTCCGGTGTTCAATCCAGGAGTCATGTGCGTCTAGGGACACGACCTCAAAGAAGGACGAGTCGGCCACCCGTAGTACCGGAGATAGCCTGCCGCCCCTGCTACGGGGACAGCCCAGGTATTTCTCCACCGCCCGTTCCAACTGAAGACCCGTCCAAGCGCCTGAGAGGGGACAGGCCATGTCGAGCAGAAGCACGATGCAACATGCATCGCTCCCCCGTGTGCCGGCGGAGCTCGAACTGTCTGATGCCGACGAAGGAGAAGGTGAACGGGGACTTTGCGCCCCGGGGAACCAAACATCAGCTCTCACCTTGAGTCGAGTCTCCAACAAAGACCAACACTGGTCCCTCCGACTCCCGTCTGGAAAGAGCAAATGAACCGCGAGGGTCGACCCCCCCGCTTGAACGGGCGTCATAGCATCCGCGTGTCGAAAGCAGCGCAGGCATCGCCCGCGAGCTTCCGCAAGTTCATGTATATGTCCGCTCCCGCGTCACCAAAAGATTCCACGATCTCATCTCCATCGCTCGACCCTCCCGGGGCTGTGAGACTCCTGAACCGTGCTACTCGAATCCGAGCCAGAACCACTGTGGTAATGGACAAGAGGACGACGCCCGTCCTCATCGCTGACGTAGTCTGTCATGGCAGCCTGCTTGGCGGGTAGGGGACAGCACGAGAGCTAGAGAAATGTGCACTTGCACTAGAATCCTCAAGAACTTCCACGAGGTTTACCAAAGAAACCTGTGAGAAGATGCAGGCTTTCACTCCCGTTCAACTGAACTCCGTCAATCTGGCGGCGCATCCAACAGAAGCCAGTCAGAAGAACTTCTCTCGAGTTGGACTGGGCGAGACGTTGCTCTTATACCTCCCGCATCTAGCTTGTCCGGGTTGCACCAACCCGGCCATGTGTGGAGCAGTCGTGGAAGCTGCGCAACCCGACCAAGTGTGACGTACCATGTTCTCTCCGCTCCATTGGTTCTTATGACTCACTTCTTTCCCCCCTGTCAATCCGTGCTAGTACTGCAGTGAATCACGTGCGTTCATCCTGCTCTATGGGCTGGGCCGTTGTGCCATGGCCCCCTATAAACCAAACTTAAGTAATAGGGGGCCCAAGAGTAGCAGTGACTCCCTCACTCTACTGTCCCTTCGCCTCCAGCTCCGGTACCTTTGACCTCCCTCCAGTCGTGCAAAGACTCGCTCCGCTCAGACATGCTCCGTCCCGTCGCGGGCCCAACGGTGAAAGTGGGTTGTAGCGACTCACTGTGTTTGTGCGTGGGAGTACCTGTGTGGATCGTGTGTGCTGTGTTCTCAGTCCGTCGCCCTTCGGTTGCTCCTCCTTCCTGGGTACTACTCCCTTGTAAACGGTGTGTTCAATCGAAGAGTCGTGAGCGTGGCTCTCCACAGTCGAACCTTCGGCTCGCCTGCACCCCCCTTGCGGGGGGGTTGATTCCGTAGTCCTGAGTGGATTGGAGATTTAGGGTTGGTAGCCGGGGCAGTGAATGATCTTGTAAACGGTTTCAGGTACAGTATCTGGGTTGGTCTACATGTAAACGTATGAAGAAGAGTCCGAAAAGTCTACGGCGTTGTTACAGGCGGATTGCTCAGAGTAAGTGCTCCTGTAAACGGATGAAGTGTCCTTGTAAACGGGGTTGAGTTTACGATCTACGTGGTGTTCGGTGGTAGCCCGGAGCAATGTCTACTACTTGTACTTGTAGTGCCGGTTTACACAATCACTTGCGGTCGTCACGGTGACTCCCCAGGTCGTGTATAGATGCACTTCTCGGAGCCGTGGACTCGTCTACCAAGCAGAATACAATCATGGCTCATTGCCCACCCATTCCCCCCCCGGAGACAAGTGCAGGGCCCGGACCGAAGCCGGAAGCCAATACTGTCCGTCCACCGATCCAGTTGCCAAAGACATCGCCACCCTTGGCGACATATGTCTGCACACTGTAGAGGAACTCGGCGACCGACTCGCCGTGCCGCTTCTTCTTGATGTTGATTGAGTGCGTATCAACGACCCTCTTGTCACCGACAAGAATCCAGACGGAGAGACTAAGCCTTGCCCTCGGCCAGTAGACCCTCTTCGAGAACCTCAAGACCACGTGGTAGTGAGGCGTGCCGTCCTCGTGCAGCTCCCTGCTGCCAAAGACGTCGACCGTTACCTTGCTCGTAGCCTTCACACGAGACAGGCTGTCGGCTACGGAGTGCCTCAGACATCGATGGAACTCCTCCTTGTCGTGGACCCGACTGCGGGTGTAGGTGACGAAAACGACATCGGCATACATAACAAAGTCAGTGCGGCCCCCGGGGGCCTTCCTGCCGACCGTGGACTGCATCTCCAGTCGAGCGCCGTCTCCGTCGATCACCCTGTTGCGAGTGCGGGCGCAGTGCAAAGAAAAGAAAAAGAGTGAGACGTGTGAACTACCCGGTTCCCAGAAAAGGTGGGCGGTCCATGACCTTTATACCCGCCATGGGCACAGCAGGCAACAGACGGGGACGTCCCCAGGGCCGTCTAGCAGGGTCCGACATGTTGAATAAGCACCCTTCCCAAGAGTGCGTGCCACCCTCTGTGAGCGGTGTCCGTCCTCCCGGCCACAGAAATCTTCCCGGCAAACGAGCCCCCGTGGGAGCGCATCAAGCGCACGTTCTCCTTCCAGTCGCTCCATCCCAGCCTCCGTCGTCTGCCCGTGTGTTTGTGCGCGGCGCACGGCATCGTCCCATGCCTCTTGAAAGGAAACAAGAGAAAAGAAGAACAGCCCGGTGTTCTCTGTTGTGTGGGCGGGCATCCAGCCCTCTTTATACCTTCCAGTGTCTGAGTTGTTGTCCGGGTGCTCCCCCCGGACGGAAGTGGAGTTGAGAAAAGCTGCGCAATCCAACCATTAACGCGCCATCTTCCGTCCCGTTGATTGGCTCTTAGTACCCGCTCCGTTCCCCCCTTGTCACTCCCGCGCTATGCACTGCAGCGTATCTACTTTGTAGTAACACACTGCTCTAGTACGTTGGGCCATGGAGCAGAGGCCCCCTATAAACCAAACTTAAGTAATAGGGGGCCCAAGAGTAGAAGTGACTCCCTCACTCTACTGTCTTCTCCCGCCAGTCGAAGTCCCTTTGACTCCCTCCAGTCGTGCAAAGACTCGCTCCGCTCAAGCACCTCCTCCGGTCGGGGCCCAGGATGTAGCTTTTGTACTGTCAGTGCATGTGCCAGTGACTTTGAATTGCATTCGGTCGGTCAGTCTCCCGGGACTGTGTTCTTGTGTATGGTCCGTCGCATGCCCCTGGGACAATTGCTCCTCCTGTCGCGTGAAGACCGGCTTGTAAACGGGTTTACTCGATTGAAGAGATGTGAGCGTGGCTTCCACACCCAGTCCTTCGGCCTGTCTGCACCCCCTTTGGGGATTGCTTTCGAAGTGATGAAGAGTCCTCCGGAGGTGATAATTCAGTACAGAGTGAATGAATGGGCTACCTTGTAAACGTGGGTTACTCTACTCTCTTTGGGTGGTGTTCTTGTAAACGCTTGAGGAATACTTGTCAACGTTGTGGATGTCTACTCAGTGTGCGTCACGTGTGCATGTGCATGTTCCTGTTCAAGTCACGCGGCTTCTTCATTGGCCTCCCAAGAGTAGACACTATTGCTATGTGAGGGCATCGTGACACGCCGATGCGGTAAGTGTTCCCCCAACGCCTACGCTCCGAAGTACAAGGGACAAACTCCATCCATCATCAATCTGTTTTGAAAACGTCACAGCTCCCGTGTGACCAGCCCGGTGGCAAACTTCAGGTTCTTCTTCTTCTCCGCTGCGGAGCCCACGACGGATTCTCCCACGTGGAGCAATAGCTGGTCCACATCTCGTGCTGTCACCCCGGGCGACTTTGTCAGCTCTGGACGATTCAACATTGACAGGGCCGCCTACCGTGCAGCCTTTCCATCTGATTCACGTTCCTAGGAAAGCCGTCAATCACTTCGCCCGTGAGAACGCTGTGCAGGGGCACCAGATCCATGTCTCCGCGGACAACCGTGCCATTCCGAGCCCGCACCACTGCGTTCCGGTTCCTACCGAACGGGGAAGAAGTAGGGTCAGCAGCTCAAGCTGAGAAGCACTACGGAGGGTCAACCCACGAAACGATGACCTTGCGGTCTAAGCCATCCATTCGGCGGTCCACTTGGTCAAAGCGACGATTCATCGTCTGCTCCAAGGCGGTAAAACGCTCCATCATGAGCTCCATCCTCTCGAGAAGACGAGCCCCGCCGTCCACTGCCGGCAGGTTTTCGCACCGCTCAAAGTGTTCGGCTGCATCCCTGAAGTTGTGCGCCACCTGGCTGAAGTCCGGCTGCTGTCGTGCCCGCTCCATAGCTCGGAACGAAAAAGAGTCCCGACAGGTAATCGATCCCGAATCGACGGAAATCACTCCGTGGTTCCAAAAGAACAGTGCACCTATTCCAATGGTGCGATGACGTGGGGTGGTCGCGTCACCCCAGTGACCCAGAGACGATAGATACACAGCACGCGGGCTTCCCGCGTAGTCACCTGACTCTATGCCTGAGTAAGCGATATCCTCCGGGCCGCCATTTCCCCCGTAGTCGGAAAAAACAGGGATGGCCTACCCTGGATCGAGTCGTCTCCTTGGCCGACCAAAACAGTGTTCTCTCTCGTGTCCCACCTGTTGTGAAGATGCAAGGAAAGAGAGTGTCCCACAGTCGCTCTACTTGTTGGGGGCGAGCCTGCCCTTTATACGGCTTTGTCCCCAGCCGCGTGTGCTGTATCCGTCCGGGCTCCCAACCCGTCCTGTAGTGGGGTCATGCAACTGCGAAGCTGACCAATGACGTAGTACCCTCCGCCGGGTGTACCTTCCTATGACTCAGTGTCTCCTCCGGTACAAAACTGTTATAAACTACATCCAAGCTAAAGCAAGGTGTCTAGAGCTGGGCCATGGAGCAGAGGCCCCCTATAAACCAAACTTAAGGATATAGGGGGCGCGGGGGTATGCGTGACCTCCCGTCACACACCGACTTCGCCCTCCAGGCTCGTACCAGTGTCCTCCCTCCAGTCGTCCAGTTCCTCGTTCCACTCGTCAGATCTCGCCCGCTCATACAAAACTCTCCGGTCGTGGCCCAGGCTGTGATTGGCGGTTGTGTGTGCGGGTGTGTTCACGTGGTTGTGTGTGACTGAGTGACTTGGGGTGGTGTGTTTGTGTGTTGGTATCCGTCACTTAGTCCGTACCGGTATGCACGATTGTTCTTTGGTGCGACTGTGTAGTGTTTAGTCCGTCGCGCGCCTTTCAGACGCTCGCTCCTCGTGTCCTGTGTAGATTCCCTAGTGAACGGGTTGAGTCGATTTGAAGATTCTTGCAGCGTGGCTCTCCACAGTCAGTCCTTCGGCCTGCCTGCCCCCTTCGGGGATTGCCTTCATAGCTCTGAAGGAGTCCTCCGGAGGTGATCACTCCAGTCTGTCTCTTGTAAACGCTGTCAGGTGCTTGCAAAGGGGTTCAAGGTGTAGTCGGGGCAGCGGAATCTGGATTCATTCCGTCAGTCTCTTCTAGACGAGGAGGGCTGAGTCTACTATCTGTTCCGTTCCCTTGTTAAACGGCTCATGGAGAAAGGTCTACGCGGAGGAAGAAAAGACCGTGTGCGATGTGTTGCGTCCAGTAGAGGCCGGGGATGCATTGGGGTGAAGTCTACATGTGTGTTGGAAGGGGGGGGGCGGCAGCGGGTGCCTTTATACCCTGGATGTGACCCATTTGCGTCCGGGTCTCACGCCCGGTCAATTGTGTGGGTGCATGGAAGCTTGCAGAACCTGGCCGAAGCTGCCTCTGACTAGCCATGTTCCCTCGCGGTAACTATCTCTATTTTCCCCTCCGTGTGTCTGTCTACGAGTGAGGGCATCGTGAGTGCTCTTGGGTGTGTGCGGGCCGTCCCTTCTCTCCGAGTGTTCCTTCGCAGTCACTTGACTCTCACCAAGTCCCTCAAGGCCCGGGGCACGAAAACGGCTTTGGTGAAACGCCCGCCAGGGCTGTTGAACGCAGTGGATAAGTGTAGAAACGGAAGCAAGCGGGAGCGCAGCCCGCATGGGCGGAGTGGGAGCGAGTGAACAATGTCCAACCTGTTCTCACCCGATGCCTTCTGGCAATTGAGTCACGGTGTTCGCAAGGGAGTCTTACCCAGATGCGGATACCAACCGAGTCCCCATGGCGGGGACAGTGTAGAAGAAAGAGAGTGCCGTGGACAAGTGAGTCCACTCAGAGTGCTTCTCTTTCTTTGTTCCCCGTTCGTTTCTTCTTGATCACTGATCCTCTGTGTCTGTCCGTTCCTCTCGTCACCTTTCTCACCTTGTTTCTTCGCAGTCACTTGACTCTGATTGTTCCTCTCGTCACTTTCTTCTCCTTGTGTCCCCCGGGCCACGTTGTATGTGTGCGTCCATCCCTCCGGTCCTCTGTCTGCTGTCTCAGTCAGTCAAGGCTGGTGTGAAAGAACTGCAGCGTTCTGTGTAGTCGAGGGGCGGTAGCGCCTCCGTCCCCTTGCCTCCTCTTCAAAATGAAAGAGGAGAGTAGAACCGTCTTAGGTTCCAGTGTCAAAGAGGCGGGCACCCCCCTTCTTATAGCTCACTCCGTGGGTGTGTTCTCCACCTGTGTCCGGGTGGTCTCCCACCCCGTCATATGACTTGGACGTGCATGGAAGCTACGCAACCTGCATCCTCTGCACCGACCTGATCCCTCTCGTCTCATTGGTCGTTATGACTGCATGCACTCCCCCCCGTCGTTTCTGCTTAGTACCACACTCAAGCTGCGCAAGGTGTCTAGAGCTGGGCCGTTGTGCCATGGCCCCCTATAAACCAAACTTAAGGATATAGGGGGCGCGGGGGTATGCGTGACCTCCCGTCACACACCGACTTCGCCCTCCAGGCTCGTACCAGTGTCCTCCCTCCAGTCGTCCAGTTCCTCGTTCCACTCGTCAGATCTCGCTCCGCTCATACAAAACCTCCGGTCGTGGCCCAGGCTGTGATTGGCGGTTGTGTGTGCGGGTGTGTTCACGTGGTTGTGTGTGACTGAGTGACTTGGGGTGGTGTGTTTGTGTGTTGGTATCCGTCACTTAGTCCGTACCGGTATGCACGATTGTTCTTTGGTGCGACTGTGTAGTGTTTAGTCCGTCGCGCGCCTTTCAGACGCTCGCTCCTCGTGTCCTGTGTAGATTCCCTAGTGAACGGGTTGAGTCGATTTGAAGATTCTTGCAGCGTGGCTCTCCACAGTCAGTCCTTCGGCCTGCCTGCACCCCCCTTCGGGGGGATTGCCTTCATAGCTCTGAAGGAGTCCTCCGGAGGTGATCACTCCAGTCTGTCTCTTG